ACTAAAATTCGAGATTTTAGACTTTATGCTAAAGTTCAAGATTTTATTTTAGTATAGAGTAATTGTTCATGTATCTTGTGCTGTGTGCTCCTCATTCCTAATGTTCTGTGGTGATGCAACACTGACATTTCCCCACTCTGCAACAAATAATTCATCTCTTAATCTTAATCATGAAATAAATGTAAAAAAGTTCATTTTGTTTATGTTTAAGGCTAGACGAACCTTCAAAGCTTAATCCTCAAGAATTTTTAGTAGTAGAAAAATGATGTCCATTGTCGGTGAACCTATGTATGCCCAAAATAAATAAATAATAATAATAATAATAAATAATGATAAAAATGTAAATGACAGAAATGAGAACAAATTATATAAGATTGCGGACGCCGAAAGTGTTCAATTCAATATATTTTGTAAGACAACAGATCAGAGAATCAAACAGTTTGAAAATATGAAATTCAACAATAACAAACACGTAGGAGGCCTTGGCCCCAGTGCATGATGGGGCAATAGCAAAAATATGCATGCAGGATTGTGCTTGTTTTGTCTAAGTGTTTGTGACTGATAATAACAGGTTTGATAGATTACTCTATTTACTTCCACATTCCATTTTTAAAATCAAGACCACAATCTTTAAACTGGATCCGAGTTTGGGAAAATATACTGAGTTTTAGAAAATATGACAAAGCCTATATTTCAAATTCATAAAGCTAATATCTGGAACAGTCTCTACTCTGACAGAATAAAAACAGCTCTTTTTACCTGTGTATACAACCTTCATTCTTTTTAATGCACTGCGCTTATTTATGTGCTAAAAAGACTGTGCTATACTTATAAACTTGCCTTGCCATGCCTTTTATACCTTTATCGCCTACATTTTTCACCCACAAGTTTATGATTCTCTAAGCTTTTTGATGTGTCGTGTCTTTGCATTGTTTTGTACATTCCCACACGCTGTCAAACCCAAATTTACAGGTCGGAAACTTTCCCCACAAGACAAAAACACGCAAAAACTATATATTTCCCCGTCTTCGTGCAGAGACAACAGAGAAATACAGCGTTTTTCTCTGCTTCTAAAACTCTGGCGCTCACGTTCACGGCACATTGGACATTCTGTTACATTGTTTGGTGCGATGTTCCTAGACTTGGCATGCTCGCAACATTTATCATTTTTAATACATGATCTCACAAACACTGGGGAATCATTCTTCCGGATTCGGGAGTGGGAGCTGGAGAGGAAAAGAGTTCCTTCTGGGTGACTTGCAAATAACTGCAATTCAATTTGTGATATTAAATCTGACATGAAAAGACTAGATTTGTTGGTTTGTGTCACGAAACCAAACAATGGTGTGGTCTAGTTTCTCACAGGCTTCTACTACGTGGGCCTTAAATAACTGCATATTCTGGTTGCTTTCTTCTGTCCCTTTGTTAATAGAGAAGTGGGTGAATTGACAAAGTTTGATTGTGTAGAAGCACTGGATGTTAGAGTTAACAGATCGGTAATTTTGTGAAATCCTGGGCAGAAAAAGGATACAAGATTTCAGAGTTATAACCGCTCAGCAAGTTTTTCTTTGAGTTAGAAAATATTAATATTAAAATAGAAATTGGGCCGTACTTAAAGGAATCTAGGAGGATTATCCCAAATGTTAGGAAAGAACCACCCTCTCCACTTTTTGAACAAAACTATCTGTTCTGGAAAAAAATAGGGGGCGACAGTGGCTCAGTTGGTAGAGCATTTGAGCCTGAAGGTTGTGGGTTCGAGCCCACCACATGAGACCTTCTCCACCGACTCCAACTGATGACTTCTGTTGTTGTGTCCTTGGGCAAGACACTTAACACCACTTTGCCTCGCTGAAAGAGAGGGGCTGGTGCTCTGTGAACTGGGTGTCATCTCTGGCCACCCCCCTAACCCAGAAATTGATTAAGCGGTAGAAAATGGATGGATGGATGGACTATCTGTTCTTATTTGCACGTATCGCCAGAATGATTGACAACTGGGATGACCAACAGTTTTGATGATCTACTGTACCCAGAAGTAGAAAATCCTCCTATAGGCCTACTGTATGTACCTTTAAGACTTTAGATTTTCAGGTGAATAGTTTGAGGACTATATTAAATCCATTCACGTTGGTAGAAAATTACGAGATTTGATTGGCTCAACTTTTCAAGACCATTTCCATTCATTTTATTCTTGCAGAACCTTAAATCACAACTTAAATCACAACAGTAGTTATCTCTGAGGACTTTACGCAACCGTTGAATTCGCCAACACAGATCAGAGAATCAAACAGTTCAAACACAAGAAATGATAAAAACACTTTGGTATTGGTCCATCAGATGACCAATGCCCATAAATGTTGATAAATGTTGAATGTTGAGTGTCCTGGATCATCACCACAGGGAGAAGCACTTTAAGAGAAGGATCCTCTCCCACAGTTGGACGGGCTGTAGACCTGTGTCTGCATTGAAAAGCCTTGGTCCTGGACACTTCTGTAGGGTCCGTGGAGTGAGTTTTTCCTTCTCTCTGGTTCTCCCCAAGGTTTCTCTTTTTTTCCCACTGGGTTTGTCTCATTTGCTGATTTTTTTCTTGCGGATGAAGGTGGATCTAGGCCAGGGGACGCTTTGGGAAATTCATCTATTTGCATAATTCTCAGGCTGATGACTGTATTAATTGATTTTCTAATGTGATAGTCAGATGAACAACTTTTTAGATGACCGTTGTTGTAATTTTGGGCTGTACAATAATATGTACAGTATTGGATACTTCAGTAGGCCTACCTATAACCTTTTTTAGTTTCATTACTACATAAGGAGCTGATTGGCTGAGTGAAGGTGGTCCTCTGTTTTTTCACTTTTCTAGGCCAAAAATACACTTCATATAAATACATCATATAACCGCTAGTAAAACATGTCAGTTACCTTTATTTCCCCCTCTCTCTCTCTGTGGTCTCTCTGGTCCCTCTCTCATCTCCCTCTTGTCCCTCTCTGCAGATGTATTTTACAGCCATATATGCATGGCTTTTTACACCTGCAGTAGTGCTCAGACCTACGAGCTGCTACTTCAAATTTGTTGCTTATTGCAAGTTATTTTTTGAGTGTTTCTGTTTTGTGTTTTCAAAGTCAGGAACTGCACCTATATCTAAACACATTTCCCAATTCTATTATAAAAGGTCTCATTTTCATTGTAATAAAACAAATGATTAAAGTCTAAAAAAGTCGTTTAATTTGTTGCTGCTAATAGTTTATTCTGGGAGTTCACACCGCTCTGTGATTGTTGAAGTCCACCTGGCACCAGACTACACACACACACACACACACACACACACACAGGAATGAATCAACAATCTCTTCTTGCAAACATTCCCAGATTCAGTTTTGAACGCAACTTTAAAGGAAATTCAACTATTTCTCTTCTTTTGTTGCTCAAATATTCATTCCAGTCCCACATAAAGACAAGAAAAACCCCTCTTTTCCTTCACCATTCTAAACTATAGTATTTCAAAGAGACTTTATTCCACTGACAGCCGTCTTCTCAACTACACCGACAAGTACTGCAAAAGTGTATCTGTCTCCATCACTTTTCCATCACTAAAATCTGTGAGAAAATCGATTCCATTTGAGCAAAGTGGTCCGGACAAAGTGACCAGGCAGGAGTTTGTGTTGGACTTGACTTTCCATGAAAACATATTGACATTGAGCGGTGAGAGGAAGAGCCCTGCACGCTCACGTACCAGTAAACAGACTCGTAAACAGAGATAAGCCAGAGCCTGTCTCCAGTGTGGGGGAGAGAGAGGGAGAGAGGAGGGAGAGGGGGAGAGGAGAGGAGGGGAAGGAGGAGAGGAGGGAGGGAGGAAGGTCAGAGTGAAAGGGAAGGAGAGAGAAGTGGAAAATGGGAGGGAAAGGGGCAGTGGATGAGAGAAAGGAGAGGAGGGAGAGAATGGAAAGGAGAGAGAGGGGCAGAGGAGAGGAGGGAGAGAGGAAGGAGAGAGTGAAAGAAGGAGAGATTTGGGAAAGGGGAGAGAGGGGCAGAGGATGAGAGGAAGGAGAGGAGAGAGAATGGAGAGGAGAGAGAGAGGTAGGAGGGAGTGAAAGGAGAGAATCAGGAAAGGGGAGAGAGGGACAGAGGATGAGAGGAAGGGGAGGAGAGATCAGGGCAGAGGATGAGCGAAAGGAGAGGAGAGAGAGAATGGAGAGGAGAGAGGGGCAGAGGAGAGGAGGAAGGAGAGGAAAAAGAGAGAAAGGAGAATATATAGAGAGGAAGTACAGGGGAGGAGGTTAAATAAATAAATAAACAAATCAAAGAGAGGACAGGGAGATGGGAAAGAGGGGCATAGAGGATAGGAAGAAGTAGAGGAGCAAAGGAGGAGGAGGGAGATGAAAGAGTGGCAGAGAGAGGGGGCAGAAGGTGAGAGGAAGTCGAGGAGAAGAGAGGAGGGAGAGAGAAGAAGTGAGGCAGAGAAGGAGAAGAGAGAGAGGTATAGGAGAGGGAGGGAGATAGAGGAAGAGGGGCAGAGGAGACAGAAAGAAGAGAGCTGAGGGAGAGGAAACACGGGGCAGGGAAGAGAAAAAGAAGAGGAAGGGAGGGAGGAAAAGGAGGTAAAAGGAGGCAGGTGTGGCCCTCCAAGCCTCAAGCGTGACGCAGACAAGCTCAGGCAAATGCAAAATGGAAATGTTTTTTGGCACGAGCGGCTCATTACTTATGTGGGAAACCAGCTTGGAAAGGACTTTGAATTGAGGTCATGCTTCAAATTGGTGGTTTGCATCCTCTCCATTGTGCATTTGAGTTGGAATTTCAGATATCTCTTCAATAATAATGAGGAGGTGAGAAGAGAGAAGGGAGAAGGAAGAGAGAGGGGCAGAGGAGGAGAGGGGAGAGAGAAAGAGAGAGAGAAGGAGGCAAAGGACGAGAGGAGAGGGAGAGGAAAGAGAGGGGACAGAGGTTGAAAGGGGAGAGAAAGGGACAGAGGATGAGAGGGGAGAGGCAAAGGAGGAGAGAGAGAGTATTAGGGGAGAGAGAGGGACAGAGGATGAGAGGGGAGAGGAAGGGACGGAGTGAGAGGGGACAGAAAGGGACAGAGGAAGAGGAGGGGGAAAGAGAGGAAAAGGAGGAGAGAGAGAGGGAGAGGGGAGAGAGAGGGGCAGAGGATGAGAGAGGAGAGGAAGCGACATAGGAGGAGAGGGGAGAAAGAGGGGGCAGAGGATGAGAGAGGAGAGGAAGCGACATAGAGGAGGAGAGGGGAGAAAGAGGGGCATAGGGGGAGAGAGGAGAGGAAGGGACAGAGGAGCAGAGGGGAGAAAGAGGGGGCAGAGGATGAGAGAGGAGAGGAAGCGACAGAGGAGGAGAGGGGAGAAAGAGGGGCATAGGGGGAGAGAGGAGAGGAAGGGACAGAGGAGCAGAGGGGAGAGAGAGAGGTAAAGAAGGAGATGGGAGAGAGAGGGAGATACAGGCAGAGACAGAGGCAGAGGGGAGAGAGAGGTAAAGAAGGAGATGGGAGAGAGAGGGAGATACAGGCAGAGACAGGGGCAGAGGGGGGAGTGGGGAGAGAGATAGGGAGCAGAGGAGGAGAGAAAAGAGGAGCTAGAGAGAGGGGAACGACTTTGAACATGAGTCTAGATACATGATTATTATCAAAACCGTTCATGTCCACCGCGCATTTAAAGTAAGTCAACTTTATTTACATAGCGCAGTTCACTAAATAAGGTCACTATGTCAGTACTACATGTATACATTTGTTGACTGGTATTGAAGCATTTCCAGCATCTACAGCTAGTTATGCTAGTTAAGAAACATAGCTACTGCTAATTTTGTATATATTGTGTGATCCCTGTGTGCTCTTACTACTGTCCTGTATGTGCGCTGCAACAACGAAATTTCCCCACTGTGGGACAAATAAAGGAACTCTTATCTTATCTAATGTTCACCATGTTTAGGAGAACCAGTCATTTCCATCATTCTCTACACTCACAGTAACGACAGAAGCATTAAAGCCTCCAATCATCACAATCCACTCACTCTCACTCAGACCTATTGCACATTCTTTGGGAGGGAGGGAAAACTGGAGCAAGGAGAACATGCAAACTCCAACAGTAAAAGCCTGAGGGTGGAATCGAATAGTTCCTTGTTACTTGGAAGCACAAGTTAGTGCAAGTATGGTTTATACTTGTGAAATTTGCAACAAAAATATTCCTGCATATTGATCATTGAAGGAGAAAAGAATATTATCTAAAAGTGTGATTGAACAAATTAAGGAAACGGCACGCTGCTTTTCTCTTTCACATTTGAGGATGATATCATTTCAGATTTAAGACAGAAGCTTATTCCAGGGTTTCAGGCAAAATGCGTGTTTAGGATTCGAAGGAAATGAATTCCATAAATATACTTTTTCAAATATTATCTTCTCAGACAGAAGTCCTTCAAATTTCACCCATTCATGGATTTCAGATTGCTAATAAATTAAATATTTCTTTTAAAGGGCGAAACATCCTCAAAATGTTGCATATTCATTGGACTCAAGCTGTCGTCAAAGCAATTACACATTTCAAATCAAGATATTTTATGTTTTGAATGAGGAAGAGCCTTCACAAAGTTCTTCAAATCAGGGATATTCGGTTTTCTCTTCATCAATGTAACTTGGCAAAACAAACTTTCCCAGAGAGACCAGAGAGAGAGACCAGAGAGTGAGACCAGAGAGAGAGACCAGAGAGTGAGACCAGAGAGCAAGACCAGAGAGCAAGACCAGAGAGCAAGACCAGAGAGCGAGAGACCAGAGAGAGAGACCACAGAGAGAGAGAGACCAGAGAGAGAGACAAGAGAGAGAGAGGAGAGACAAGAGAGACAGACAAGAGATAGAGACCAGAGAGAAACCAGAGAAAGACAAGAGAGAGAGACCAGAGAGAGACCAGAGAGAGACAAGAGAGAGACCAGAGAGAGACAAGAGAGAGACCGGAGAGAGACACCAGAGAAAGACAAGAGAGAGACCGGAGAGAGAGACCAGAGAGAGAAACCAGAGAGAGACACTAGAGGGAGAGACCAATTAAAGGGAGACTAGAGAGAGACACTAGAGAGAGAGACCAGAGAGATATCAGAGAGAAAGACCAGAGAGTGAACGGAGAGAAACTAGGGGGAAAGACCAGCGAGAGAGAGAGACTAGAGAGAGAGACCAGGGGGAGAACAGAGAGAAACTAGGGGGAGAGACAAGAGACACTAGAGAGGGAGAGACCAGAGAGAGAGACCAGAGAGAGAAACCTGAGAGAGACCAGAGGGAGAGACTCAAAAGAGACTAGAGAGAGAGAGACTCGAAAGAGACCAGAGAGAGAGAGACCAGAGAGAGAGAGACCAGAGAGAGACCGGAGAGAGACTAGAGCGAGTGACCAGAGAGTTATGTGACACATGAGAAACACACAATAATCAGATAAACAGCAAGCTACAGCGAGGAGCCACTGTGTTTAGTTGACCAACAATGTCTCTGATGTCCAGCCTCACTCTGGGAGCCCTACACGCCAACCCACATAAGTACCATTCACTTCACACAAAAACAAATAATCTCTCCCCACCTGCACCTGAACAACCTTCGAATCGTATCTCTCCTTCAGCCTTCCCCTCTTGGCAGCGTCCCTCGGAGCTCACCAACCTGTTCCAACCCTGTTTTTCATTTAGGCTTTTCAAGTTTGAAGAAAGCACACCTGTTGAAAGAAAAGCTACGCCACAATCCCTGTACAGCCTTGTGCTTTGGCTTGTAGCTGTAATGATAATAAAACCGCTTTTGTAAAAATAAATCCTCTCTTTAAGCCTGCAGCTGTTGTTCTCTACCTGTGCCAGATGTCGCCTAAACACGTTTTAATTGGCTGTTGCAAGTTGTTACAAAGTTTGTGTTTTATTGAATAGTGTCACTCAACATTGTGGATCCGCTGAAACATTTACGATTCCTGAAATGTTATTGTTTTGCGTTCAGCCGTATTGTGTGTTATTAAAACAGCAATGAAAGCGTTTAAAAAATGCGGCAGTGTTGTCAAAATGCACAGATTTACAAACGCAGAGCCCCAGGCGTGCCTTGGATGCGAGGTCTTTAGATTGAGCTCTTGTTGCCGGCTGCTTCTTTAACTCTTCCACAGACAGCTGCAGAGAGTGTGTGGGGGAACTCCACGCTAAACTTACACTGACACAGTCTGCAGACGTTCTCTCCAGATTCAAACAGCTGAGACGCAAAGCTCAGAGGCCCCTCAGGCAACAGGCCCACGGACACCAAACTCCCCACACGTGTCGTCGTATGTTTCACAGGGCCATTTCTTTATTGGACCAAATACAAACAAAAGCTGGAGTAGTTGACTTGCTCTAGGACTTTACACTGCTAAAGTCACTTTTTGAATTTGTGCATATGAAATATTTTGTACCTCTATTGCACATAAGATACTTTATATACTATACTGGTCACTACTATTTTCACATTTCTACACCCTGAGTGATCCTAGTGAAGCCAAATGTAACATGTCAATTTCTCCATTGTGAGAAAAAGTTTTATATTTGTCTAAATTTGATTTAATTGGGAAATACGGTATGAAGAGAAAGGCAGTTATTAGAATTGCTTTTTTGATTGGCAAGTAATCTCTAAGTCTACATACATACAAGCAACTACATATACAAAAAAGGGCTCAAGAGTTGGTCTGGCGGTGATGGGGAGGAGGGTTGCTGCTCAAATGAACTTTTTTATGAAATGAAAACCTGATGCAGGGCATTGCTTGGATGCTGCTTGGTGAAGATTTAACTCACATACACGGTGGTAATAAACTACTGCTGAAGCCACGGCTGCCCTTGAGCACACTGACAGAAGCGAAGCAATGTAGGTGAAGTGTCTTGCCCAAAGACACAACAACAGTTTTTCACTTTATAGATGCGAGCTCCTTTGTGGCCCCTGGTGTCCCCGGACCCTACTTTGCTTCAGACGTCTGACGGCTCTGGCTTTCACTCAGTACAGTAAAGTACTGAGAATAGTTCCATCGTCAGCTTGAGATTTAATAATCTGAAACAACATATTACTGGATGCTGACGACTCAACGTTTTACCTACAGGAAGCTGCAGCCTATAATCCAGTCTGGTGGTGAATCACTCGCGGTCTGACTGTTCACCCACATTTAAGAAGAAACTGGCGGGGCATCAGTCACTGCATGCACACACTGGCACCTCGCACCAACAAACAAGAAGCAGCCACACAAACACAAAGCTGTGGGAAATGTGAGGTTCAGAATAATCATTACCAGCACCTAGAGACAGGAACCAGAGTCAGAAATGTGTAATGCTGTTTACTTGTATAATTATATTAGTCATTCTGAGGTGGTTTTTTGGGTTCTGCTCTCAGACCCACAGATCAAAGAGGCTGCAGTCAAACCGCTGGCGAATGCTCACATAAAATCCAGAAGTATAACGTTTCATATTTAGATTGAGGAAACTTTCCAAATGACTTACGACTCATTGAGACTTGGAGCGACTGCAAAGCGTTCAAAAGGAAAGAAACCCAAAATATAAGACTTGAAAAATATGATGAGCAAATCCACAACCAAAAGGCAGAATAAATGTCCAAAGGCTAGCAAGGTGACACACATACTGTATGGGCAGGGCAGGTCATCACAGAGAGGAAGTAGAACGAGGCACTAGACACAGGGAAAACTAACTTCAAAATAAAACAGGAAATAGAATTCCCAACCAGTCTAAATCACATCTTCAGTGATCGCTCCAGCCCTTATTCCTTTGTAGATGGTCACATATGGGTCAGAAGGCTTCTTCCACTGCAGCACTATTTTTGTGATATTTGTTAAAAGGATGTGTCGAGCCGGGACAACAGCTTTGGAGGCATGTTGTTTGGACCCGTGTCGACTTTTCACCTTGTGTCAAAATGAAACAGTAAAAATAAACTTCTGACTCTCAATATCAGACTTGTAAAATCACACCAGGAGCCCAGGAAATAACATGATTATGGACAATGGCAAGATGATCATCCACATGGAGTAGTATAAACATTATCAAATGGATTTTCAACTAGGACAACTTTCAAACGGAAAGGCCAAACAAGGTAAAGTGTCTTGCCCAAGAACACAACAAAAGTTTGACAATTTACAGTCCCAACCACACCTCAGTGACACCTGGGATTCGTAGAGGTCTCCCATCACAGTACTAACCAGGCCCGGTACTGCTTAGCTTCAGAGGTCTATCAGGATCAGGATTTCACATGCATGTGGCGTGCAATATAAGATAAGATAGACTTCATTTATACCTTACCTGGAGAAATGTAAATGTCACATTTGGCGTAGATAGAGACACTCAGATTGTGCAAAAAGACAGAAGTGTGCAACATGTTAAAGGTTAAAAAATAGTCTGTGAAGGATATAATTATGTGGATATAAAAGTGGCAATAAAAGATAAAGTAGAAATATTACTTATGGACCAGATACAACAAGACACAAAAAACTAGTAGGATTTTATTACATAGTTCCATTTTGTGGTTTCAAAGTTGGGTTCCCCAGCTTTACCGTGACATAACACATGTGTAACCATGAGTCCTTTTCCCAGCACCATCCCCAGTGTCCAGCTGAACTAACTGGAACAGCCCCGTCACACAATACATGTTGTTTCTACTATTTAGTCCACTCA